AATTCCAAACTCCGTGCTACTGCTGAGATTTTTTTTAAAAGCCCATTAATAATTTGTCCGACCCGGGAATCGAACCTTGCCCGACAGTCAGACTTGCGACCACTCGGCCAACGAGATAAGAAGTAGTACTTCAGAATGAATTTGACAATAAGTGACTGAAACTATCGAAATAATTATTATATATTAATTACTATGGTGTTTGACAAATTGACACGACTGTAAGTTGCAACCCTTTGCGATTATATTGACGACCTGTTGCATACTTATTGTGTAACTCGAGGGGTGATATACAGCTGATATCGTACAATATTTTCGGTACTACATCACAAACACACTGGCGTGCTAAAGGAGTAAGCAGAAGAGGTCCGACTTATCGTAGCTTGCCTTTTTACTATTAATAAAATCTTTCATTATAAATAAATACTTGCATTAATACGAATCCTAGAAAGTGATTGGTATTCGAAATACATAATTGAAACCTTAGTCACCGTACGATTGTTAGACTAACAAGAATTTGGTATGGCATTAGATATTTCGTGTATCTCTGACTATAATAAAATAAAGACAGCATTATGAATGTATACAAATACTTATTACAACTGAATTTAATAAATTCCTGACCAGAAAAATAAACACGGTGCTAACTTTAGTACAAAATTTGAAATTACTTACTTAATTTTAAAAGCATAAAACTCAAATTGTAGTACAACCCAGAGGATAGTCAGACAACCCTGGACATTAACCCAAGATCCAATGAAAAAAAAGCAAAGAATCATACTGGTATTAAGACCGGATCCGTCAGCGCTCGCCTTCACATCCCATGTAACTTGGTAGAACGCACTAAGGCTCCCATTTTAAATATCCACACAATATTCCACAAACTCTTGTAACACATTAAAAACTTTTTGAACAATGTTCACACTGACAGCAGTATAGCACAGAAATCCATCGACAACTGAGCGCCAATCCAGAATCCTGATGCAAAGGGCAAAAGCCTTACAGAGCCTAAGTTCACTCACCTCTTACAAAGCCTTCACTGGTACTGTCACTTATACACCACAAAAACTAAGTGCACCACATATTGTTGAAGGAAACAGATCGGTTCATAACAGGAGATTGTTATTAAATATTATTTGACGATGTTTTAACTGAACACTACACGTAAGTCGTGAACGTTCGCAAACCTGTTACCTTCTTTCTCACTCTAGGCTGTATGGAGTGTTGCCGTGTACTGGCCTACGTTTTACCGTAATGTCAATTGTTGAGTCATACATAACGCGGCTCGCGCGCGATGTTTCGTCGTTTAAAAAAATGTAGCTGTCAAATTGGTTTTTGAAGTTCGATTGTTATTTTTTTTTTGTTGTACAGCGGTTAATAAATCAATATTTTAATTTTAAATGGCTATCCTTGATGAATAAATAGTAGGTACATAATGTATGACTTTTAATTTCTTATTAGAAATAAGCACATTTTTTTATTTGTGGGTAGTTAGAGGTCTGCCTACCCAAATATAAAAACGTTTGGTATTATCTGGATATTTATTTTTCTTTAAGCATGGTAAGTACAAAAAGATTCATAATTGCATATAGATATGAATATCTGTAAAGATATAATATATAAGGTTTGGTTGGAAACGATCTTTCACACATTTCACCAATTTTAAGGGTAAAAGTAAGAATTTCTTCTCAAGTTCAGTTGTTATAAGCCCTTCAGCAACACAAAACAGTGTTCTGACGTCAAAACCGCTTGATTAATCATTTAAAAAGTACCCAAGACCGCAGCAACGTCTCTAAATATGGCAACACTAAAAATATAACCTCAAAGGCTGCCATGTCCGAGCGAAAACGCGGCGAGCGCGTTCAAAACCACGAACGTCGAATACAGTTACACGTCTCAATGTGACAAGGTTCCATAAACGCTGATACTCAACGACATTACAACCGTGTCATAATAACACACATTCGTTGTTTTACAAGCACAATACGGACGGTGGAATGACGTACTGAAACTTATTCGTTGGTGTTAGATGTTAATTAGTTAAACGAATTTGGACTTTAGTGGTTTGGGATAAGGTTGTTGGTGAAGTTTGGAGTTGGTAGTTGCATATTGGTTTAGTTGCAGAAGCCATTCGGACTGTAATCATATTACTGCAGTACCCATGCACTGTACTGAACGTGGGGCAGCATATATTAGGAAATGTAGTTTCGCTTTCTAGGTGGCTTTTTATTTTAATATATATGAGTTATTGAGTAATTAGTTGAAAGTGTTTAAACACAGCGTTTACTCGCTGCAATAAATAAAATAATGTGGGAAATACGGTAGCTATAGATTCTAGGAACTGAAATGATAATTAAAATAGAATAAAAGTCCAGACTACATACGCGTATTTTCTATGAATCATTTTAACTTCAAGACCAAGAAAAAATTATACCTAAGAGCAGACAGTTATTTAATTAATTTCAAGCTGACAATTTTTATTTTAAACTAAACTTGAAGGCATCTAAGGCCTTATGTTGGATTTTTTAAGGAGGAAAGTCATCGAATTACTACTCCCGCCCGGGTGAGGCGAGAGGGAGTGTCAGACTCTTGCTGACTAAAAATCACCCCGTTCCTGCTCCTGCACTTCGAGCTGGAGCCCCGGGAACCTTTTACGTTCTCCGCGGCTCCGTATCGAAGGCATCTTAGGCTTTATTTTGCGAAGCTACATATTTTTAATTAATTCCTAAGTTCAGTAAGAGTCTAACACTCCCTCCCGCCTCACTTAGGCGGGAGCAGTCATTCGATGATTTTCCCCATTAAAAAAAAAGGAACTACACCTCAATAATACTTCAGCATTATTAAGCAATTCATAAATTTTTAAAGTATCCAGCTATTCCACTATTGCCTTATAAAATATGTATCGCCCACAGGTGCTCGCAATAGAAAGAATCAGAGCCATTTCTTATTTACACCTCGTCTCGAATCGCTCCGTCAAATGTTTCATAATAATTTATCAGCCTCTCTATTATAAATCTACTTAAAAACATTTTTTTATAAGATTGGTCGGTAAACGAGCGAGGAGTAAGTGATCCGTTCACCTGATGGTAAGCAATCCACGCCGCCCACGGACGTTCGAAATACCAGAGGCGTTACAAATACATTCGCAGCCCTTTTGGTATTAGGAATTTGAAGATTTTAGGGGATTCGGGGATTGAGGAGATTGGGGAGAGGGGTGATTGGTCTGCCGATAACCTCCCTCACACGACGAAACACAACGCAAGCGGTTGTTTCACGTCGGTTTTCTGTAAGGTCGTGGTATCACTCCGGTCGAGCCGGCCCATTCGTGTCGAAGCATGGCTCTCCCACACTTAATTGATTTGCCAAGAAATCTCATTATAAATACATATTTCTGATTTGATATTACATTAACCATGAACCTGCTAAAGTATTTACATGATTAAAATATTTCAGTGTTTTCCGTAACTAAGAAAAACTTCGATTAATTTTATGTAATTGACTGTTTTCTTTTACTCTCTAGTTAATTACTTAAGTGGCTACAAATGTGACGGTCACCATCATAGTTGATCATAGACATAATAAATGATTTAAATTTTTCTGTAATCACCATGAATCTTTATTGGATCATAAGATTTTAATGATCGAAACTGCACAAGATCTCGAGATTTTCAGAACTTTCCGCTTTGAAGGCCCATGCTATGCTCTTTTATTTAACCAAAACTAACGAAAAATGAATACTGTTTTGTTACATTGCATCCGTTTTTAGATAGATTAAAAGGGGTTATAAGTATATATAAAAACTAAATTATTTCTTCTGTGTTTTAGCAACAAAAAAATCTTTGTAACGATAATAGGTAGATGCTGACCAGCATACTTAGTGGTAATATCTATCTACTTTCACATAGAATCTCAGTAACCTCGACGTGGTAACTGGCCAGTCGTAATGAGAAGTAAATGGCTCCATGATCCAGCAATTAGACGCAGGCTTCACAGTACATAGTTACACACACACACATGCATAAAATATAGAGGTGTTATGCTGTCCAGTGGAGTGCTGGATACTTGTACCAAATTAAGTAGAAACTATAAACTTCACCACATTGTATGCTGCAAAAGCTATGTATTTTTTTAAGGGGGGAAAATCATCGACTGCTCCCGCCTGGGTGAGGCGGGAGGGAGTGTCAGACTCTTACTGACTAAAAACCACCCAGTTCTTTCTCCTGCACGTCGAGCCGGTTATTTTTATATTTATGTTATGTATAGTTATTTATAGATTATTTAATGTAAAGGATAACCAAAAATCCCACCAATGAAAATTCTTTTACAAATTTTTGCATTGATTTTGTATGGCGCTTTTGATTGTTATAATGCGCTGTCTTTGAAGATTTCTAATCGGTAAATATTATGTCTTAGTATAGATGCAGTCTACAAACCTAATCAGTATTCAATTAATAATTGATAATTTCATAATACCGTCAAAGATGTTTAATTGTCTATATAGGTACTACGCTTCGCAGCACTAGTCCACTGTCCAATGAAAATCATAGCAGATATGTATGTAAAATGTACATACACGTCTATCAACCAAAATTAACAACTAATATCAATCCAAAGTGTTTGAATTAAGATCAAATTTTGTCATTACTTGTGTAGAGTTTTTGTCAAAAACTTAAATTGGTCCAGAGACTCTGTTAACTTAACGTGTTGAAATATCGTACTCTAAATTTGTCCATACAAAAGTTGTCTCTAAATTTCGGAAATAAGGCCTATAATGGCGGTAACTAACTTATCTTAGCTGCTCAATCCTCATCTCAATCGAATCGATTATTGTTTAAACTGCGCCTTAAGTACCACGACAAGTGACTAGTGAGCCCTCGTTGTGCACTTGCCTTTTCATATATTAACGTCTATGTACATACAAATAGGAACCTTCCATACTTTCGTAGGATATAAGTACTTACCTATTTTAAGTAGTAAAACTAAATGATATATTAACTACTTACGTAATTTGGTCTCACTCCTTCGTTTCACGCGCAGTTTAATGACACACGATGAAATGCACTGTGGACAAGTATAATAAATATATATGTATATGTATTTTCAGAAATCTAATTTTGTATAACGACCACGTGAAATATTGAAGCAGGTGACTTTTTGGGTAGTTACAGAAATTCTAAAATGCCAGTTTTAGGTATTTCGATAGCATTTCGAGCAATTATAAATATAAATTAGGACAACATTACGGGTCTACCGCCTAGTTTAGATGTTTCAAAAGCATATATAGTATCCGAACCTTAACTATTAAATATTCCAGAGTAATTAAACCCCCTTGCCAAATCTAATTATAATTTTCTAACCTTACGAACACCATCTACCATCGAATCGAAATCAAACCATCGTTGTGGTCAAGCCACGAATTTATCTATCACAGAAAACATCACTCAACGATAATATCTGAACAATTGAATTCAGGATCTAAAGTAAAAAGGTCCTATCAACTGAACCAGTTCACCAGAAAGTGGAGAAAACAGATGCTCTGCCACTACACCATTTAGATCGTCATTTATTTAAGTACCCAGCTATTTTCCTATTGGCACCCCTCGCGGAAGGGCGGAGAATGCCCCAATGGCTACCTCTTTAAAAATAGATTGATTCAACGTCCACTTAGTGCGTTTTCTGCCGCAAAAAATATCGTTGTGGTCGGGAAAACTTGACTTGGGTCTGTGAAATATTGTGTGCTTTACAGTTTTTTTTAAATACCTAAGTGCTTAATTATTTCAAATGCTATGTAAGGTTTAACCTAAAAAAAATGGACTGGATAAATACAATCGATTCGTAACCGACTGCGATACTTCAGTCCTATCTTTGGACTATTTTTTTTATGTAATAGGTATATTTACATTGATTAATCTACTGGCTAATTGTTTTTGCAATAGTTTCTTTTCCCTCTACCTCTTATATCGAAAAACGATATCTACTTTGTAACAAGCAACTAGCTTATGTACTGCTTGCAATGTGATTTATTCATTCTTGGGATCTTGCCGATGCCCATAAAGCTTGTAACCAAGATTACTCACCTCATGTATATGCCCAAGCACCTCCGCCCTCGACATGTCTTCCAGACGAGTCTCGTTCACATCCATGATCTCGTCTGCTAACTCCAGGTTATCCCAATTACCGGCTGATGGCGAACCTGTAAGATAAGTATTTTAATTACCAAAATAATGTGATCTTAAAGGAGATTAGGTCCAATATCGAAACGATCCCTTAGGTCTGGGTTAGGTAGAAGAGACGGATCACCTGATGGTAAGCAACGTATCGGCGCCACCCATGAAGTATGAACAATCGTTGCCAGTCTTTTAGCAATTGTTGACTCAGGTATTGACTATGGGGGAAGGAGGGTTGATTTTAATATACCTTAGTGGTTACTCGATACTCTAGGTGTTGGTCTTTTTACCGCGTACATACCTAAGCAAATTCAAAGTATCAAGGCATGGTTTTGTTTTAATCCCACCACAGTAAAAGGAGCGCAAACCCAGAAAAATAGAAAGCTAATGTAACTCGTATTTTTTCAACATTCGGCCGCACTTTTCAAAGTTCTTTATAAAACTTTGAGAAAGGTGAAAAGAAGACCTTGTCCAGCCTTTGCCTTATTAATTTTGTTTCGAAAAGAACGGTTAGATGTAAGCGTAGAGTACTATGTACTTTATAGTTGTCATTAAAATTAGTGAAGTTTAAATTCACCATCGAGCTCAGTGGCGTGCCTTTGGCGAAGCCTATGTCCAGGAGAGGACTAGAACTGGCCGTTAATGATGATAATGAAAGTTTAAATTCAACATTTTGTAGGTTGATTGCTTCCTTGGTGTTGAGAGTTTCTAGGTACATCTTTAAGTAGCTTAGTCTTTTCGTAATAACGGGACAAAAACACAATGTTTGTATGAGTATAGGCGTGAGGTGGTAAGGTATAATTTTGATCTCATTTAAGTATACCACCCTGCTGGCCATATAACAAAGGGTTAACATCATCATATACCTACTTATAATAAAAACACAATGACTCTTTACTTATTTTCTTTTCAAATACGACTAGAATCAATAAACATACAATAGGAGAAAAAACTTAGTCATTTAATGTTTAAAACAAAGTACTGACGTGTCCTTAAAACGACTAAAGGACTAAACAATGTCTAACATTTTTTGGGCGCACGATCGACTGAAAACTATAGAACTCCTAGATTTTTATATTCCACTCTTTTTCAGTACCTAGACAGATAAATAATGTAGTCTATCTATCTAATGAATTTAAAAACAATATTGTATTAATGTTAGCTAGGTACAAATAAATAATATTCTATTCATTGAAACCTTTAACACTTTCAGACGTCGCGTCATTTTCAGCGAGATAACCTAGCAAAAAAGACTCTAACAAAATGGCTAACTTTTAAATAAACCACTCAAATATAAGACTTAAATAAATAGAAATTAAGGTTTGGAAAGAAATTAACTTTGAGTAAAACTTGTACTTACCGTATAATTTGATTTTATTATCCTTGGTTTGCACTACAATAATAACATATCCCTCTAAATCAACAGACTTGCATTTCACAGTTGTCATTTTATCAATCGCATTTATCTGCGTGGTTGGTGCGTTAAAAGTATTCATTTTGCTTTATTATTAAACTATTTACTATCTCTAAACACAAAATAGCTATGAAAAAGACTCATTCACGCCCCCGTCGTACGAATCAATGAATATTTTTTTAATTTCATGCCAACGTTTACGCCAACGCCACTTCAAACACAGCCCACTTTTTAAACAATTATTCATTTTTATTATTTTCCACATTCTTTATTTAAATCTAACCCGGAGATAGTAAATCGGCCATCATTATTTTTGATTCTCACTCTTCACAAACTGAACACTCTTCGAACATCTAAATTAATAATATCACAATTTATTAATAAGTCTGTTTTAACGTAATTTCACATGATTTTAGTGTATTGTCGAGGTGTAGGCGAATATCAGAGCATTTTCCCCGTGACAAGTCACGTTATGGTGTTTAGAATAAACGCGGTCGGTTTATCACATGCCCTGTATGTTTATTACATTTTTCTATTCACGTATACATAAACTGAGGGATTTTAGATACTTATTCGGTTATTAATCTAATATTTAAGGCGTATCGACGTGTTTTTGAGAGTGAAAACCGGTCCCACGTCCGCGGGCTGGGTGGTCGCCGCGAATGGATACGACTATCCCATTTTCGCGCGATCAATAATGCTCCCTACCCAGCATCCCTTCAGACTCCCACAGACTAGCGTTCTATTTTCCCGTTTTTTCTTATCAAGGCGCGCGTGTATTTCTAGTTCACGAAAATGTCTGAGAAATCATTTAAAAAGATCAAAAATGAATGTAAAATTGAAAAAAAAAGATACAAAAAGTACGACAAAAAGAGTTTGACCTCAGGTCCCACCGAGATTTGAACTCGGATCGCTGGATTCAAAGTCCAGAGTGCTAACCATTACACCATGGGACCGCTTGAATGTACTGTTGAAATTACTGTCCAATACATTATTATTGCAATAAAGAAAAAAGAAGTTTTATAATAATAAGAAAATAATAACTTTCAACTAAATTTTAATCAATGCCACCCGAAATTAAGGCGTTGAATAAATTAATTTCTCTCTTCCAACTACGCGATGCGACAGACATGAGATGGCACTGTCATATTGTCCCAATGTAAATTTTATGTTAAGCGCCATCTATGATTTTTAATTAAAACTAAATGTGCCACATGTCTTTATCACGATGCCTGTACAATAATTAATTCTATAACGTAGAAGTTCCATTTACTATCAATTATTAACGTTTAATTATATTTCGTTGAAAATTAATATTTTCTTTTTTAAAAATATTTAGATGTTCTTCACAATTTTTACAACTTGCAAATATGCGTTTGTATTATGGTCTAGCAACACCACTTGTCAGTTTGTCACTGACTTCGCTACGGTATGGTTGTCATTTCGTCCGTCTATCAAAGAACGTGATAGATGAATGGAAAATAATTAACTTTATCGCAGCGAAGACATCTCTCGTATCTCCTCGAAACATAACGCCGCGCGTGTAATAACACCTAAGTGATTTTCTAAAAGTGTTCACTTCTACACAACACCGCCATGATCGATGTTAGAAACAAAGATGGCGGAATAATACGGTGATCATAACCAAACGCGTTGTTTTGTCGTGTGTAGCGTTATGTGCTGTAGTGGGCGGCGGCTGCAGCAGTGTCGGGGTGCGTGAGTGAGGAGGAGAGGCGCGATGGGGGCGCGGCCGGGGTGATGCCGCCGCGGCCAGCGGCCGGCCGCGCGGCCATGGCGGCCGACAGCGAACGCCCGCCGCTCGCTCTCTTCACCGCTGTCTACGACTATGTGGCACAGGGAGAGGATGAGCTTTCCCTGCGTCGCGGCGAGATCGTCGAGGTGTTGTCCAAGGACGCCAACATCTCCGGCGATGAGGGCTGGTGGACGGGAAAGATCGGCGATCGCGTCGGTATATTCCCTGCCGTATACGTGACGGAGGAAGACCCGCTGGCCGTGGAGCCGCCTCGCGTCTCCTTCTCCGAGTTGAAACTGGAGGAAGTGATCGGGGTAGGCGGCTTCGGGAAAGTGTATCGTGGCTATTGGAACGGTGAAGTAGTAGCGGTGAAGGCGGCGCGTCAGGACGCGAACGAAGATATCGAAGTTATAAAAGAGAGTGTGTTGCAAGAGGCGAGACTGTTCTGGGTGCTGCAACATGAGAATATAGTGTCGTTAAAGGGGGTCTGTCTGGGGGAGCCGAACTTTTGTCTGGTGATGGAATATGCGCGCGGTGGGCCTCTCAACCGAGTGCTTTCTGGTCGTAAGATACGGCCAGACATCCTGGTGGACTGGGCCATTCAGGTGGCGCAAGGCATGGCGTACCTTCACGTTGGCGCGCCCATGTCGCTCATCCACAGGGACCTCAAGAGCTCTAATGGTGAGTTCTTTACTGTTATTATAAATTAACAAATAAGAATTAACTCTACAGTCTACAGCTGTTCATATGTATACTGGAGTGCATTTTTTTATTACGTTTTGTTTCTTTATTATGTTCGGTTACAATTTGTAGTACCTTATTTTTGTAATTTTCTCATTCAAGTAGTAGGTAATTATCCTAAATTCTATTTTTACCTGATAATTAGAAGGATTAAAAATTCAGCAGAATAGATTTCTGATTCTACATTTATATGGGAACTCTCAGTAATAACTGGAATTAGTATTATAGTTTCTTCGGTCTGACCTGCGTTTTTATGATAACAACCAAGTTAGAAGATTTTTATCAGTGTAAAGTGTACTTTTACAACAAAGAAAATCACTTCCTGATCTATTTATCTTGGTTATCTTTTTGTTCAAATGTCATTAACCTACATCATTATCAGTTGCCTAAATATCCTTGAAACTTATAACCCCAAGGTCATAAGCACAGCTGTGTTATCAAAGCGGAAATCGTTCACATACCAGTAGATAACATTATTGACACATGGATAAATTTCCTAATAACTGTCACAGCCCTATATGATATTCCCTACCTACCTACTTTATTAATTTTAGACAATCCCTAATGCTAAGGTAGGTAGGTAGTATAATCTTTCAACAAAGCGTACCTTGGTAGATAGTAATATAAATTATCTGCCTTGTTCAATGATTCTATACAAACTACATAGGCTAGGTACACAATTTTTTGTATCATCATCATCATCATCATCAACAGCCTATAAATGCCCACTGCTGAGCAAAGCCTCTTCTCACACGGAGAAGGTTAGAGCGTTAATCACCACGCTTGCTCAATGCGAGTTGGCGATTTCAAACTTATAATTATAAATTATAAGTCCAGGTTTCCTCACGATGTTTTTCCTTCACCGTTTGTCAGTGGTGTCTAAATAATCTTAGAAAGTACATATAACTCGGAAAAAGTCACATTGGTACTTGCCGTTGGTAGGTTTCGAACCCGCACCCTCATGCATGAGAAGTGGGCGTCTTAAACCTCCGGGCCACCACGACGTGGTTATCTATATTTTTTGTATATCGGTATGAAATAATGTTATTTTTGTCATCAAATTTTTTACTTAAGTATATTTGTCAGGGAAGGTCTTAGTCCAGATGTCTATTATGCTCACTTTCTGTCTCCAGTCCAGTTCTGTTCAGTGTGACACGGATTCACTAACGGAAGTATATAAATTTTTTACTAATTTTGTAGTTCTCTGGTTGCTCCTCCTTCTACCCAAATAACACGAACTTGTTGTTAATGAAACTTAATGTACTGTTTTTGATATTTGATTAAACAGCTGCTATAAAAATATCCAATATTATATTATTGTTGCTTAAATTGTATAGTTTTTTCGTCATGTAGATTTTTACGTACCTAAAACTGGAATATCAATCTTAATTGCTACACAATTATGTACAATTTTGCTATAACCTCAGAATAAGGATAAAATAAGAATTTAATAAACCAAATTATTTAAATCAAAGTAAATTATTATTTTACAACTACACATATACCAACAATTTATATCCTGTCATAGACAAAATGACCAAGAACTGTCAAATAATGTAAAGCCTTGTGCACATTTTCTTTTTTTTTCTTGTTTATGGTGTTGGTGTAATAATTACTTAACACCTGTAATTAGTAGCTGCCTTTAATGTCCCAGCTATGTGGTATTGTATGCTATAAATGGTTACTACACTGCAGATGTCAATTGAAATTTTCTCACCTTTTAGGGGATCACATATTTAACACTTCTTGAAACTGAACATAATTGGGTTCATTAATGAATGCTGTTTTATTGACTAGTTTAATGAGCCTGGTGATCTAAAAGAGTTTCATGTGTACCTATGCTTTAAATATGAGTTGGACTCGCAAAATATATTGTAGATGTCCGTAAAATTCCATTACCCACTACTTATCTAAAATATCAGTCATTTTTTGTAACAACAATTAAATTTCTCGATTTTATGCTTGTACTAGCTAAACCTGCAAATTCGGCTGTATGCGTCTAAAATGAGTACATTAGCTACCTGCTAATAAAAGTCCCGTCAAAATCGATCCAGCCATATCAGTGATTAGCCAGTACAAACAAACAGACAGGCGGACATGCAAAAATTCTAAAAAGTGTTATTTTGGTATATAAATTGTATGTAGATTTACTTATATGCATAGAAAAAAATGGTTGTTTTAATATTACAAATAGACACTCCAATTTTATATATATCTGTATACATAACAATACAAACTAGGATTGTGTAGCTCATCCTATTGACTATTCTGTTGGCTAGCAACAAATTAACAATTACGATATTACATTTACCCACAACAATTTAATTACTATCCAGTATTAAATAAAATATTAAACAAACATTCCTTTATCATCTAATTGTGAGTTACCTAACATAGTACATTTCGTTATTGAAGTGAACCGGGCCACGAGTGTCACTCACTGGCTCTAAGGTCTGTGACCTCTTTTCATACAATTTACACGATTCAACAAATTATATTTACTTATGCAGTTTTTGTCGTTGTTTACTTAGATTGTTGCTGGAATAGTCGTTATTGTGTCAGCAATAATAGAGCTGTAACATAATTCTGTTTATTTTGCTAAGGTAACACCTAGTTTTGTTGTTTTTGTTTTATATTGAATTTGTATGTATATTTGCTAACTAATATCATTGGTGTTGTTTTGTCTATAATAACTACTTATTGGGTGTAATATGTAGACCAATAATTCAGGCCAATGTATTTTTACTGTTTTAAATTAAACATAACAGAACATCACACCTTTTCACGGCAGTGGTGTACATTGTGCCACTGTACAATGTAACACCCACTTTTCACTATCTATGATATGAGTCCCATGTAATAGGGGGTGAGCCTATTGCCATATACCGTGCACAATTCTAGACACCGTGCTAATACTAATACTTTTTGAAAAACCCAATAATACTTTGCCCGCACTGGAAATCGAACCCGAGACCCCCTTACCCTGCAGTCGCACTTGCGACCACTCGGCCAATGTTAAAGTAAACAATAACAAGTTTTCCTAGGAATTCCACAATATTCATATCCAGTTAAATAATAGGTACTTACCTATTTATAGATTAAAGAACATAACCAAAATTAATAACTATAAACATTATATAAATCAATGAAAGTATCTTCAAACTATTTAAATCACATACATGTCATTAAAAGCCATTTGCGTACATAATATAAGAAATTTTATTGAGGACACATTGTTTAATCCAATTAGTTGATGTAATTAACTTAATGCCATGATACTTAAACCTAATGGATGTTATTAACAAGGCTAACAAATCCAGTACACTACACACCTGCTACCTTCAGAGTTAAAGTCAATATGTTTTCTTTTAATTAGCTACAAATCAATGGCCTTCATCTAAACATATTTATATTAGTTTATGTGCGAGCCATTGAAATCTCGATAAAAGGAATTATTGGTCATTCTACCACTAATAAGCAAACAAACCTCGTTTTTGGATTGAAACTAGTTCAGTAAAACCTTTTTTTATGACAAGAATTACTTATTTTGGAAATATAGTGATACTGTTAATGATATTATCAAAATCAGAGAAAAATAATTATGAAACAAGCTTTTTTTAATGAATTTACCTAATGGGTGTGATCTTTATTGTTTTTTTAAGTTAGTAAACTTCAGTCCTAGTGCTAAGTAAATATTAAAATAATTTAATTGAATATATATTTATTAATATGTAACAGAGATAAGCGTAAGTCCAGATATGACCGTTTATAAAACATTGCGCAGGATTTTTTGATAAACGTCGTGTCGAATGACGTCACGACTTTGAAACTCTTTACGAAACTATGACGTAGGCAGCTGCCCCACTATCTAAAATAACGCGCATAATCTGAATAGGTTTCATGAATTGATAAATTAAAAAATACTTAATAGGTCCTTCTTTTTTAATCTTATAATATTATTTTTGTTGGTATAGTTAGACATACTTTCCACGACGCGTTATTTGACGAATGCATGCAACATACAAATGACGATAGGCGAATGAACGCAGCTTCGTGAACAGTTTTTATTTTTTCTAAGAAAAACGCAACCATTTATTGCGTGTTTCTTATTTGTAGCCTTAGATTATAACTAGTTATGCAGATGAAGATCAACAACAAAGAATGAAGGAAAGTCACCATAAATGTGCATGATTGACGTAAGTGAAAAATGTAATTCACTAATAGGAAGCTTCAATTAAACAAAGTCTGCCAATATTGAAGTTACCCGAAGTTCATCGATCGCCGCTTGTAAACAAAGGTTACATTTCAAATGTCACTAACCCTATTAGTAATAAGTACAAACTTACTTGCAATATGTACAGTTAAACAGACGGCTCTTGTCTTTGCGTGTTTTATTAGTTACGGACTTTCCGATTCAGTGTTTAAAAATACTTTTTTTATGAATAAGTAATAGGAAGTTTTTTTAGTCTGTTCAAACAGGATCTCTAAAGATATCGCATGATTTCTGCTTGCGTTTCATCGATACCCAAAAACTATATGAAATGAAGTCAATTTAGTATAATAATATGCAACTACTTTAGTACCTAGTTCTTGGGACCACGCCACGGCAATTCTTTATTCTATACCAGTGTTTCATCGATACCCAAAAACTATATGAAATGAAGTCAATTTAGTAATAGTATATGCAACTACTTGAGTACCTAGTTCTTGGGGGCACGCCACGGCGATTCTTTATTCTATACCAGTGTTTTCCTTGTTCAATAAACCAGTCAAATTTCGACGTTATTCTCGAACGCACGTCAAAACAATGATGTCATATTTGCTTCGTATGTCCTCTAACTATGACGTTGCACACTCTTTTCGAACAATAGTGACGTTGCAAACTATTTTGGAACAATAGTGGCGTTGCGACAATGTAAGCACGTCATTTGCAGTAGAAA